TTTTTTTTTTTTTCTTTTAATTGGAACTGAAATACCAAAAATAGCAATTATCAAATGAGCAATTTAACATCTTTGACGTGCATAATTGTAAGATTATTCACGCCCGAATGCGGCATATAAAAATGCATGAATATATATCATTTTAAATGAAAAGATGGTTCTTATTAGATAATTCTCCATTATAATTGTACAACAGAACAATTATATGAATACTCTTCACAACATTAAATAACAATACCAATATCATTGAAACTCAATTGTTAACACCTCTAACAACTCTTAGGCCTCCAAATCATTAAACAAAAGAAAAGCTGAAAACTTTTTCATAATCCCAGTAAAGGAATTTTAGATTCCCATACACTTCATTGCAGAATTCTATCAAGACAGCCTAAATCTTCAGTTACAGATACGACATATTCGAAGCCCATGAAAACTTTCTAACAAGATCCAAACTTTAATAACACACAGAAAGTCAAAAGTGAAGGCCAACAATCGACAGACTAATGCAGAAAGCACACGAATTAAAAGGGAATTCCCAATTTATGATCCAACAAAAGATCTTGTCTTGGACAGAATAAACAGCTATTAACCCCAACCATCTGTAAGAAACTGGGGGAAAAGGAAAACCCATATGAAGCCCAAGGTTCGTCCACGGAGGGTGAGTCAGGGCCTAAGATCAGGCCGAAAGGAAGTGGGGTTCCATCCCAAAACCAATTGGTGGAAGGAGTAGCCCATTAGACTTATAAGGTGGGTCTATTTTCCATGTATGAACGATGTGGGACAACTCACAAGTGTGCAAAGCAAGCAAATTACAAACCAGAAACTCAAAGACGATAGCTTTATGCACACCCAAACAGAAAAGCATGAGAAATTTTAGAAACCTATACTCCCTTCTTGTACAACTTTATCAAGATAAGATAACCCAAATCTTCAGTTACAAACATGGCATCCTTAAAATTTAATAAGACGCAAAAATTCAGAAGTGAAGGGCAATTAACAACAGACTAATGCAGAAGGCACGCGACTTGAAAATTAGTAGTTTATCAATGGTCCCAACAAGCCAGAAACTCAAAAGACGATAACTTTATTCATACCCAAGCAGATAAATGGAAGAATCAGAGAAAGAAAAAAAGTTTCATAATAGACATACAATATACATACATACCAGAAAGAAAGGTGGCAGAAAAATCTGGATTGGGGGTTTGTCGCTGTCGAGGTCGAAAAACCAGTGGATAAAGTTCGCTTTTTATTGGTTTTTCGAAGAAGACTTGTCTTGGTCTCCAAGGTTGAGGCAGATAATATAACTTTAAATTGTGTTCGCCTGATTCTTTTCCTTAGCACTGGTTTATGCGTGATTGCGTAGTTGAACAATGAATTTAAGAAATTAATAAGAGAATTATGTACTTTTAAAAAATTAAGATAGAAAATCGTGTACAATTATTTTATACTTACAAATATAAAATAATTTATATGTAAGTTGGTGGTGTCATTGACATTCTTTATTTACCAACTATAAATCCTATGTGTTGGTTAATAAGTAGACTTTGATCCAATGGATAATTCAGGTTTAGAAGTAAAATTCGTGACTAATTTAAAGAAACTTATTAGAGTGATATATTAGGGCTTGTTTGGAAACACTTATTGATAAGTCCATTTCAAGATGAACTTTTTGAAAAGTGACTTCTCAATAAGTCTTCAATATAAACTTCTTTGAAATGGACTTTTTGTAGGAGTTACTTTTTTAAAAGTCCATTTTGTTGTTTACACCAAACATCTTTTTATATTGGAAATGGACTTTTATAGTCAAAAGTCCATTACAAAAGTGCTTCCAAACATACACTTAGTATGGTCGAACCTAAAGCGTAATTGAGTATTAAAGTTGGATCTCAAATTTATGAATCACAAATGAAACTCGATAGCCACGCCTTGATAGAAAGTTGACAATTTCGGATATGTTTGGTAAGTATATAAGCTAGCTTATTTTATATTCGATTACATTATAAAAGCTTGTTGAAATCAAATAAATTTGGTTTCGTATGACGAGATTTTTTTTTTTTTTTTTAAGTTCGAACTTATCTCACAAGATTCATTCAATAGTTTTCCAAATAAGCTCATAGAAATTTTTCTTTCAACTAGCTTATCAATCAATTTTACCTAACACTTTTATTATATAAGTTAGTTTCTCAACCATAAATCATAAGCTATTAGCTATGAGCTCGAAATTTATTTAAGAATTACAAATTAACTTATCAGAAAAGTTTACCAAACATAGCTTTATTATGGTTGGGTAAGTGAAATTTATTGTTTCAAACTCAACCTCTTAAGCCGATATGCTCTTTGGGGGGTAAGAGTAGCTTTTGGTAATTAATGAAACCTAATATATTTATTGAGGGACTCATACTCAAGCTTTTAAACCGATTAAAGGTTTTGAAATCAACTTGTCTATCAAAATTTGTGAACAGAGGCCGGACCTATTCAAGTAACAAGTAACATTACAAGAAATACATTACTTAGACCTTCTCCAACCGAACGGGAAAACTCAATTTTTGCAGTGAAATCTCCTCCAACCGAACGGCAAACGCAGCGGCAATTTGCGTTTTTGCCTTCTCTCTCCTCCTCCAAAGCGCAAATTTGCGTCTGGACGCAAAATATGCGTTCTCTTTTTTTTTTTTTTGCATTTTAGTCCTTTTCTTTATGTTAACCTTATTTTGTTCTTTTTGTTTTTGCACTTAAATTCAATCCTCATATGGATGATTAAATTAATGAATGTTAATTATATATATTTATCAAAATAGTAATATTAATGTAAAATAATAAATGTTATATTTATCATTTAATTTGCACTAATACAATGAAAAAAATAACAGTTTTTAAAATGTGAATATATGCGCTAGACCATATATGGTCTAGAGTGTAAATTTGCACTAAATGTTTTATCTATCATTTAATTTGCACCAATACAATGAAAAAAAAATAACAGTTTTTAAAATGAGAATATTTGCGCTAGACCATATATGGTCTAGAGTGTAACTTTGCACTAAATGTTACATCTATCATTTAATTTGCACTAATACAATGAAAAAAAGTAACAGTTTTTAAAATGTGAATATATGCGCTAGACCATATATGGTCTAGAGTGTAAATTTGCACTAAATCGTATATTTTCAAAAGTGTTCTAATTTTCATGTGTGTTGTAATTTTTATTTTTTCATCTTTTGAATTGTAATTTTTAATTTTATATGTGTGGTGAAATTTTAATTTTGAATGAATATTTATTTCTCCAATTTTATTATGTATAATTAATTTTAATTACATAAAGTCCAAATTGAATTTAAAATAATAGTGTGGTTTAATTTGTAAAGTTGTAAAATATGTGGGTAGTATTGAAAAGTTATAAAAGTTGGTGTAAAAGAGAATATTCTGAGAATATTCTTTTGGGTTTGAAAATGAGTTTTTCGGTTGGAGATGAATTACTGCAAAATGGAATAGTTACTGCAAAATGAGTTTGAGTTTGGGTTTTTCGGTTGGAGATGGCCTTAATGAGCGAGACTCGATTTGTTAGCTAAACAAGTTGTTAAATGAGATCAAGCTCAGATTTTTATCGAACGAATCGAGTTGAGCCCACTAATGTAAACGAGTTTAGCCAAACTCGAATTTTGTTACTCATGCTCATCCTCGAGAGTCGAGCTTTATCATGACAAGTCAAACTCGGTTTGTTAACTAATAAAATCAATAAACGCGTTTGAATTGAAATTAATACAGAGCTCGAGTCAACAATTCAAGAAATTATATAAAAGCTCTATTTTCTGAGCGGCTCGATTTGTTTACTAAACAATTAATTAAACAAGTTGGATTCAATTCACTTATCAAACAAAACGAGTCGAGCTGAGCTAGTTCTGTCGAGCCGAGTCACGAATGCCTCTGATTGGATTGTATTCCGAAATAAAAAAGAAACTCTCCAATAATTTTTCTCCCTCTTTCTCTGTGTTCGAATTTCACAACGACAGGGAGCCATCAGCAAAGTGACACTCCAACTTTCTCTCCCTCTCAAAATTATGATCGAACTCAATTATTGGCATTTACAGAGCTAGATGCATAATCACGCAATTGTATGTATATAGGAAATGGTGACGCCATGTTTTTCCTCTGAGAAGAAGGTGAAGGTGAAGGGTTGGTAGTGGAAGATGGGCTGCTTTTTCGGCTGTTTTCGTACCAAAGACTCGAGCTTTAATCCGGCTCATCCTCCGGTAAGCTCTGATAACGAGACGATTCAGCTTCAATTTAGCAGCATTTATTTGATTTTTGTTCTGATTTTCGATTTTATTTTTTCTTTGAATTTGAGCAGGAGCCGGTGGTGGTGCCTGGGAGTAAGAACGCTCTTTCGTCTTTATTCCAGCGAGATGGTAATTCTTTATCTGTTTCCCATTCAAAACTTTATGGTGTTTATTCGGCGATTTTCGGGGATAACGCGAATCTTGAAATGAGTTTGTTTTGTGCTTATTACTGAAAAGACGAACCAGTCGGACAGGGAGAGGAAGGTCACAAGAATTTGCTGCCTCAGGAAGTTGATATTAAGGAGCTCGGGGAGGAGGTTCGTATCTCGATTCGACTCTTAGAAACAAAAAGTATCACAAAGTTGTCATATGGATTTCTAGGATTGGAAAGTTCATGTGTATGTCAGTGTGGTGTCTCGATTTTTTCGGATATTGGCTATTACGTCTGTGTTTTTTGGGCATAAGAATCGATTCTATCTGCTTTGTTAATCAAATTCTTCTTATATATCCGGTTTGATATAGACCTTTAAAACTTTTCTGTTGTAATGCGTAGGCCTTCTGCTGAATGAATAAAGATGCAATGCATACTTTTTTATGTAAATGTCACTGCTGCATGAATAAAGATGTAATGCATAATTTCTAAGTCAGCTGGTGACTGCTCGGATAGTGAAATGGGTGATGTGATTCTTACCGTGCAGGCCAAGTTCCTCAAAGTTTGTGGCACTTTACCTGAAACTCCTGTTGAAATTAGAAAAGGCATCGAGAAGTGGGAAGCTAAATTGGATTCACCCGTGGGTTCTTCAAGAAGGTACTTTAAAGTTCGAGCCATGGCTTTTAATACCATTGTGTGGGACTGTAATTGATCTTCATATTATAGTTTCGAATTTTGGCTTTAAAGGAAACTTCATGACAATACTGGAAGTGTTGGATGTATTTGCTGAAATGTTCATCAATTGTGACTTCAAATATTTTTTCTCTTTGTTTTGATATTTTCTTCATCTTTGCTTTATAAGTTTCGTAAGTTCTGCATACTCATCAAAAGGCACCTCTGAATTCCCGAGTGAACCCTCCAAGCAGTTTGAATTGCTCGGCAGCAGAAGTGTAGTAAAGCCGTCACCATATCCGACCCTTCTCAAATTGTCCAATGAGGTGCTGACACTTGGCTCTGAGTTTCCTGCATTACATAATAATGGTAAAATTAAGCCACGGAAAGAAGATGACGTGATATTAACTCCAGTGGCTAAGTCAGCAGCAAAACAGATGTCAGTTGAAAAAGAGGTGAAAATGGAAGCAAGCCTGTCCGATTGGTTGAAGCCGGTTTCACAAAACAAAGGTGGTAGTATTGACAATTTAGGTCTTTTTTCTCGCGAAAAGGCGTATTTTGGGAAAACTCCCGGAGATAGGCCGATTTTAGGCATGATGGCTGCTCATTGGAATGAGAATGAGAATGAGACTTCTCAAGATTCACCAAAGTGGTGGGATGGAAATGGGATTCCGAATTCTACTAACAAGTACAAAGAGGTATTTTTATTTGTCTTCTATCAGTTGCTTTCGTTTTTCGTCCTACTGCCTGAATAATACTATATTCTTGTTGCTACTATGCAAAACCACAGGATCAAAAAGTCAACTGGCACGCAACACCATTTGAGGAGAGATTGGAGAAGGCATTGTCTGAAGAGACCTTTATATCTAAGAGGTGGTAATGTTGTTTTCCTGATGACTTGCGTAGATTTTGGATTTATTTTTTAGGTAAAGCAAGCTGATCTCTGATACCTTTCCAAGCCACTTAAATGCTATCTTTCAGTTGCTAAATTAAGTTTTTACGGTTGGAGTGAAGTGAAGACTGAAAGCAAGCTGATATCAGATACGGTTGGATTTTTATTTTTATTTTTTTCCATTTTGGCAGGAAGCCTATTGGCATGACATCTGAAGAGTCCGATACTGCTTTCTCGCATATGCAATCTTCGGACAGCTTTAAATCTGTCGTTTCGTTTGGATGAATGCTGAAAAAAGTTGTGTCGCCTTTTTGTTATGAGTTCATCGTTCGATACATTTTTGTTAGTCGTCGTTGATTATGAGCCATTGGCAAGCTCTGGTGTGGTGCTGATTTGAGAGGACAGGTAAAAAAGCAGAATTTGGGGTGGCAATTCATTAAAGGGTCAATTGTTTGTTGTGATTTGTGAATGTAAGTAGGCAAAGAGTGTACTTCATAATCTGATATATTGTATTGCAGAAGAATTTTATT